AAAGTTTTGCCTAAAAGGAAGAGAGCAAAATTTACGTAAATTTCAATTAAAGATTTGAAAATATCTTTCTAAGTTATCGCTCTTTCGCATACACACTTCAGAGACCACACATAAGCAATTCGTTTACCATGTCGTCATATGAATAATATATTTTTTTTTGTGAAAGAAGGGGTGTGTTTGTGCGTGTATGTGTTTGTGTATGTGTATGTATGTTTGTGTGTGTGTGTGTGTGTGTGTGTGTGTGTGTGTGTGTGTGTGTGTGTGTGTGTGTGTGTGTGTGTTTGTGTGTGTATGTATGTATGTGAACGTGTGCACGGGTGTAGGTGTACACAAACCTCTTTTTAATCCGCATAACTTCCATTAGAATAGGTAAGTGTATGTCCATTGCACCGTCTGATCACCTCCCATCACTATATCACGTCCATCTTTCCTAAAGTGGAAGCATATATATATATATATATATATATATATATATATATATATATATATATATATATATATATATACAGAGAGAGAGAGAGAGAGAGAGAGAGAGAGAGAGAGAGAGAGAGAGAGAGAGAGAGAGAGAGAGAGAGAGAGCTGTCTAAACATCTCATTGCCACTGATGTCATAGACAAGAGAGAAGACAAGCTGGGAGGAGGGGAGCTAATCCACTGTTGCTTGTGTTGTCGTTACACCCTCACGACTGGAACTGATGGTGACAGGACAGATTGTGGTTGTCTCATCTTTTGATTATGAAGAAAACTCTAGACTGTGACTCTACGAAATAATAACAAATGTTTTACACCCACATCGACACAATTTAGATCGTTTAGGAGGCAGATTTCGATCTCTGCCTCTCAGGGCCAACCTGGTCAGAAAGGGATACAACTGCATAGCAGATAGACAAAGACACCCAATAAACATTCTCCCCACAAAGAAAATCAAACGTGGGCCTATTGCGTGAGGCACCTGATCACAGACACAGGAACGTAATGTGAGACTGGTCACGGCAACAAATCAATTGTAACAAGTCTCAAATGACTTTAGAAAATACACCGTACCAGTTTCTTGAAAATAATATATGTTTTAATCAAGAAAATCAAAAGAAAATATCAAGAATAAAATTTGATTATGTTGATGTTTTTGTTGTTGTTTGTCTATTTAATTGTCTTCCTATTGTTTTGTTTCGATCGTTCCGAAAGATAAAGGATCAATATATAGGAAAGGCGCTGTTACCTAGTCGCAGTGTATCATATTAGTATGTATTATATTTCTCTCAGTCTGAACTTTTTCTCCCCAGTCCCCTGTCCTCACGATACATGTTATAGACACCAAATCGCCCTTGACATAATATTCTGTATTGCGTCTGATCATACATTAATGTCACGATCCCATTATCTCCAAACCACGAAGACGTGTGAAACCGAAACATTTTCAACCGTTGTTAAGTTCTAACTCAACCTAGACATTACATGACATTCTGAATGCAGTGGAGAAAAACTAAACAAAACAAAACAACAACAACGACAACAACAACGCTCTGACTTACGTATATTCATATCGACTAGTTCGTGTTTATGCAACAAACTCGTTGCAATCGATAACCTTGTCACCTCCACAGCACACTCCACCACCTCCCTCGCTCCCTTTTCTCTTACCAGTCCCACCCAATCATACAGAATCACGTTGCACAATTCAACTGAAAACAACTACACATTAATATGTTTCTTTTACCTTGATACTCTCGATATCATTTTAATTATTCGCCACATCCTGGCATGTCTCCCCGCCCCCCCACCTGTCTTTCTTTCTGTCTCTGTCCCTTTTCTCTCTTTCTCTCTCTCTCCCTCCCTCTCCTCCCCCCATCTCTCTATCTCTCTCTCTCTCTCTCTCTCTCTCTCTCTCTCTCTCTCTCTCTCTCTCTCTCTCTCTCTCTCTCTCTCTCTTTCTCCACAGTGAACCTGGATGACGTTAGAGTATTTAAGTGGGATACATTGTTGAGCAATGCACAAGTCTACAAGCAAACGACTCCTAGCTTTTGGTTTGTTTTGGTTGCGAAGTTTAAAATCAAAGCCAAAGTCGTCTTTATTCTAACGACACCATGTCATACAAATGCAGTATTTTAATCTTTCAACTTTTGAATCGTACGTTTTTCGCTTGCTTTGCCTATGCTTATGTTATTATTGTCTTGTGCGGGGTTTATTTCTCGGAAGGAGACATTCGGATAGCACAACCTGAAATTAGGGTGGCTAAAAATCGAAAACAAAATCTAGATTTTCTCCAATCCCCACTCTTTTTATGTTTTAGTAAGAGTTTTACGGCGCTGGCAACTGCACAAGGTAATGTGAGCCCGCTTCTGACGCCGACGGGCATGAACATTTCGTTCTCTCTGAAACTGTTAATTGAATCTTCATGACGATTTGACTGGTCATTTGAACTTTGTTGGTCCAGACCTGTTTCGTTTGCTGATATCAATATGTTAAATAAAAAAAGAATTTATTACATGCATTATGGGGGTAGATCATTATGTATCCTACTAAGGAATAATCACGAGTTTTTGGTTGCAACTGGCAGTTCAATAAGTGGGATAAATCATGGTCTACAACCTAAAGGAATGCAATATTTTTTAAAAAATATATGCGTAAGTACATATACATAATATATACAGATATACCTTTAATACCTATATTATTATACATATTTACATATATGTATGAATGTGTGTGTATGTGTATGTATGCATGTATGCAGGTATGTATGTATGTATGTATGTATGTATGTATGTATGTATGTATGTATGTATGTAT